TATTATTGACCTTCTAATTTCAATAATTGTTTGTAGTGGGATATTTGTGGTCTATATATAGACTACAAATATCCCACTTAGTCCGGACTATAACCATCCCAATGGGAATTAGCGCTTAAATCGGTTAAAATAGGGTTATTATTGATGGATGCATACTATCATTGCGAATGTTATGATTGTATTCGGCCACGTCCTCGGCTTTATACCCGTGGTGGTAAAAGGCGCAATTACGGCATACGGCCTGTGTAACCATCGAGCTCGAGGTCAGAAGCAACAATGTTTTGCATTTCGGTAGTGTTTTGGGTGTCCATTTTATAAAAGGGTATTTGAAACTTTTATTATATAACCCTAAGACAAATGTTCAAATTAAAAATTATTTATTCGTTACTATTACCTAATAATTTTATTACCAGTCGGTAATTTGAATTCGATACGCACTTTGTAATGCAGTTTAATGGTGGGAATTTATCTTTGCATACAAGAAGATTTGCAATAGGTCTTGTTATCGGCAAGAAGGTTGTGCTATCCACTGGAAAAGACGTCAACGTGATCCTTGTGAGCAGTGTGGTAGGCCAACCGCCTCCGAGTATAAGTTATGTAATTTACACGTAGGGAAATATCATTTTAGAGCGCATTATCAACGAAAAAAACTGGAGAGAATGGTCAGTTTGTGCTACGCTACATTGTTGATGATGATTTTCCGCAACCAATAATATTACGAAGATCACGTAAGTTGCCCTTGGGGAAATAATTCTATCAAGGCGGGACCGTAATTGCAGAAAACGGAGGGTTGCATTATGGGTATATTGTGTTTGCCCTTTTATTATCACATTCAAAAGCATTCAATCACACTCAGCATATAGCAATTATCCTACAACATTTGCATGAAACTGTCTGTCCTGATGAAAGACATTCTTCTATAGATATCCCAAGCATAGTCGCAATCAAATGTGTGTGTAACGTCTATCCATTCCGATTACATGCCAAGCAACTAGCAATCTCTGTCGATACATTGAAAAAGTGAATATTAAGGTAATTATATGATGAGGTCATTTTTTTTATTCGATAGAAGTGCTGGCATTCCTATCTAACATTACAGATTATAAGATGAAACTATTTGTATCCTTTACCGCAAGTATAACTGTATATGCGTGTGACAGTACGGAATGACGTGGGAGAAAATTTCCCATCCTATTAATGCTCATGTTCCGGGAATGTGACCAATAAATATCTAGCAGCTAATGAACATTGTACAGTATCCCGATAATTTCCATGGGAATGTCAAGTCAAACTGTGCTACTCGCAAAAAACCACACATCCCCCCCCGATAACATGGAAAAAGGAGAGCAACTCTTTCCCTTCCTCTTTCACACACGCAAGCACAGCGCAACGAGCGCAACGCACGCACACGCAACACGCAATACACGCAACAAAACATACGCGATACACGCAACAAAACGCACGCACAATACACGCAATACACGCAACGCACGCGACACACGCACGCAACGCACACATAGGGACTTGATATTAAGACGGGTTCTTCGTTCCTTGTAATTTAGTTAAATTTTTCTTTGACTTTGGTGCGTCGGCACGTCCTTTCTTTTTTTTTTCTTTCCTTTTTTCTTATAATGTCACATATCCCGGTGATAGTCACGTGCAAGTATAAGTGCAAGCCAATGCGAACCAGTCACGAAACCACTAAAGCCACAACCGCCCTCCTAACAGCCACTTTCGGGGAACTATATTATACGCATTGTAATACATTTGGTTTGTACTGTGATAAAGTGAAAGTGGTAGAGGCAGATGGGTCAAGGGTGCTTTTGGATTACGGGGGTATTGAGAAGGTATTTGGAAAACCAATTGGATTTGTAAAAGGGCTGTTCGACGTTCTTCATATTATATACTACGCGAAACCATTTGAAGAAATATACACTTTCCCAACCTTGTACAAATCCACATCCCCCGCCTATACATATACACCATATACAGTACACCATATACACGTCATCCGCATACACATCATCCGCATACACGTCATCCGCATACACATCATCAACCACATCATCAACCACATCATCAACCACATCATCAACCACATCATCGACATCGACGTCGACATCCACGTACACCGGGTACTAACACCGTCGGGGTCGTTCACCACATCACCGAATGCATCGAAATGTTTACCAATTTCTCGATAAGTCGGCCCGCCTCAAATGACAGACCTATCGAAAATCATGTGATAAAAGATGGTACATTTAGTGAAAGTGTTTCTTATTAATATTAATATGGAAATTTAAATGTCAGTCACAAACTAAAAGAATGTTATTGTAAATTTAGCATAACAGACATAGAGAGAAACGTATCGCATATTGTTCGTTGGCTTAGTTTTCACAGTTTCTTTCTCAAATTTTCTTTTAAATTTGGATTAATATATAAAGACTTTTTTAAAGAGCGAGACCGCTCACTAATATATTCCCAGTTTAAAAGAGTGGATGTCCGATTAACTTTTCCTGGACTGTTTTCATCTTTATTGTCGGGAATTACAGTCTTAAAAAAGGAATTACATTCTTGACAAAATAATAGTAATTAGCCACGATGCTAATATTCCAATTAAATTAGTTAATAAAGAGAAAAATGGTATTATTTTCAATGAGAGCAGTGCTATTAAAATGTATTTTCAAAAGCAGTTGTTAATTTTCGCACATAAATGGTTATTATTATATAATGTCGAAAAAAATCCGCACTTATTTGGCCAATTGCGGCTGACAAGAAATTGTTACTTATTCACTCGTTTCGCGATGCCAGATTCTTTTACGGTTATAGCCATCTACTAATGTTCAATCTCGCCCGAGCCAGTAGCAAGTGTCTGATCGGTCCCCCAGCAATCAATCGTTCAACTAGCAGAGTATCAGTGCATCAATAAACAATCCTACTTGCACGGTATAGTGTTAATGCAATAATTTTTGATTAACAACTCACGTTAATATGGGTTAGACTTCCGATGCGTGACCGCCAATGTGATTGAAATGCACCGATAAGAGCACTATTATCTGGAATAAGATACCAAGATTTTTGGTGTGTGCCTGCCAGAACTCCAATAGCTTGTCTCTCTTTGAGATCATAATTATATAACTAATCATTATCCATATCGCACCATTGTGGATTTGAGATTGCGATGCTATACTGAAAGTTTCATATAGTGCCTTTGAATTGATTACAGTTGAGTCTGCTTATAGTAAATCACTCTGATCTGAGGCTCTCGGTTCCTACAGCAGCATTCATTACAGCTAAAGTCATGTACAAAAAAAATGGAATAGCAATAATAGTCTTATCAATTCCCAACTACTATTCAATCATCTTATCTTCAAAATAGTGAAGACTAACTTGTTTCTGGAATGACCTAGCTCAATCAGTCTACAGAATTGTTCAAAACTTCTTACTTCTTCAGTAACTTTACCAGATTCTGGTCAAGAATTCAAAATTGTAGTTAAATACTGACCGCTCTATTACTTATTGTTTTCAACGTTTTGCTTCACTATCACACCTGATTTACTAATTCTATTACATCTTCATCAGTAAGGTTTGTTCAATTATTAGGTGAGAGCAAAGTTGTGAAAGGTAAAGAATAGATCACAGTGACAGACAGGGATATTGAAGATTTTCAGGATAAAATTGCAGTCACAAAATGTCTTGTTATTATGTGACGGGAATACAATTTTGGTAGCGAATCACATTTATTAAATTCATATATAGGATGACACTTGTGTTATGTTATCTCTTTTTTGGGCTGCTTCTTCGGCCTTTTTCTCAATTTTACGTAAAACAACTAAATGTCGTTTTCAGAAATTTTGTTATTTCAAACAGTCAAACTAATGCAAAATCATTATCGTTATTAATGCATTTGGACGAGTATTTAGCATCAATACACCGAATAATTGCCATCTTTCTTACTTACTCGTTAATGTTTGTTACTAAAAATTGACAGTTTATTTTTAAGAGCGGTGAGCGTTTATTTAAAAGAAGAGTATATTTCGTATAAATACAGTAGCTGCTGTAAACCATCGTTCGCCCATTCACCACAATGCCTTAGAGATATGGCCTATGTTATTATTATAATGATAACTGCAAGTAAAATGTTTATCTCAACAAGTCTATGTCTTGATACCAAATTTTAAAGTTTATCAATAAAAATAGTTGTGCGACTAATACTAAATAAAAAAACCAGTCATTCTAGCAGCCATTATCACCCTCTCATTTATGTCACATAATAAGATGCAGCATGTCCCAAATATTCTAGATATTGATAAAGTTAACAGAGTTGAGTAGAATTCTTGGGGACGCGATTACAGAATTAGGTTTAATTATAACTTTAAGGTTCGCAGCAACCTTTTCTTTTTTGTCAGACAAAATAGACAGTGATCACTTTTGGGGGTTAGTTCGTCTGTGCAAAATTTCTATTATTATTGTTATTATTATTATAGTCGAATATTTAATTTTGTCTCACATTTGTGTTAATTGCATCCTTAACGTCCCGATGACCATATCTGGATATTTGCCAACACCAAAGCAGTCCTTATTAAGTTTGGCTCGTTCTATTATTAAACCTTCTATATTACGCATCGCTATTATTGGCAATATATCGATAGACTTTTATCCCATACACTTTTCGTGCAACAGAGGATGTTTCCATTAGAAAACCCGGATAATGTGTTTAGCCATATTAATATTAATACCCGTTCATCCGCACATGATTTTAATTGCGATGCAAATTAAATATTACAAGTCATTGCTTGATTTTGTTTTTGTTACGACAATTAGATAGTTATCTTGTATTATAACGATTGTTTGATTCGCAATCACAGGACATAAATATTATAAATTCAAACCTTTTTGTATAATTAACTTGCATCATGTATTTTTATATTAATAAATATTAAGTCATACCGTTTGTTTTCATGAATTAGATAATCTATGAACTCTATTAATAAGCTACTTTAGGCTGGGACTGTTTCGTACGACGCGTCAGGATCCTTGTCCATCTTTATGGCTTGTTCACAAGCCCTAATGACAAGTTTTCCGGGACATCCTTGTGGCGCATAATGAACGACAAAGTCGCCAGGCTCGTATCTGCTGGGGAATGTGTTGAAAGTATGGTCGTCGTCATCCAGAAGTAATACCTAAAATAATGAAGTAATGTGAAAAGAGCAGACAAAATAAATTCAGTTCCTATTATGAATTTCAAAAACCACAAGCGTATTAAGCAAAATATTGATCACATAAACGCACCCCCTCTTCCCATTCAGGCGTTATCATAACTTTCCACATAGCAGCCTGCTCGTAGAATTTTCCTCGATATTGAGATTTGAACATCTGTACTTCTCGAATGAATTTCTTGCTCCACTCTGAATTTCTCAACAAAAACACACCCGCATTTATCATTGAGTCCCCCATTGGTTTCGCTACAATCAAATGCTTCTTTTTAAACTCCCTTTTTCCCAACTGCTTTTCAAACTTTTCCAACAGACTCTCGATACTGGTAGAGAAATTAAATATCACAGCGTCCATATCGAGCCAAAACAACCAATCATACAACGGAAGCACTTTCTCTACTGCGTCTATTTTGCCCCACACTGTCTTACGGTCCGTGTATCCTTGCTGAGCGAATTCCAGTGATCTCGGTACAAAAGAGTAACCGTGTTTCTTGGCATACAGTCGTTTGTTATCTGCAGAAATCGGAGCAGCAGCTAGCATACACAGGTCAGTATATACAAAACTACTAGTGATTACAGCGACGGATGGTTTCGATATGGTAGGACTCTCACTCAGTCGCGTAGATGGTAAATTGCATGGCGGCGACGGTGATATGGAGAGATAGTTTGTGATGTCTGTTACTTCGCCGTTCTGATACACGCTGTTAACAGCAAGGACATCGTCGGGTAAGTTGTAAATTGTATTTTCCCAATCTACTATAGTTGTATCATCAGCGATGGTGATGACTTTCTTCTTGCTCGTGACTGAACTTTTATAGTATCGATAAATTTTGGTCAACAGGTTGCCTCCATGCAGGGATTTGATTTGCGGTAATTGTTTTAATATCGTAGTCAATGCGTTTGATCCAACGATAATTGTTGAGCGATTTGAAACCGTTTTAAACGGGCCCCAAAATAGCTTGTCCAGTTCACTTGGGGAAGACTTGTACCCAGGAATGTCAAGTGACTCTATACTTTGCTTGATTTTAGGAATGTTGAGGACAGTGAAGATGTCGGTGTAGATCAAAAAGTCAAAGTTATAGTTCTTTTTCGCCTAGTAAAATGTAAGAGGACGATTAATAGTCCACTTAATTAACAGAAGAGTGAGCATTCATTAATTACGACCAAGACTCACCAGCGTCAGTGCTTGTTCTATCCACTTGTCACCTCGCACATTTGGAAGTTCATCGATATCGTCAAATTCCATTCTTTCGGTTGCATATCTCCTCGCAGCATACTTGGTACCTACGGTTGTAGCTTTTGTAATAGTCTTTAGAGATGGATCATTCCTGACCAAGAAACGATGCTGCACACTAGAAGTCGGTTCTAAGCAGTGTATCAGATTATCCTTTATTCCGAATATTGTCTCTCTCAATAATTTTCTCCTCGAATGGTCAACAACATCGGAGTTGATGACCACTAGATAAGAATATTTCCCTTCAGGTGATGTCTCGTCCGTATGCACATCTGTTGGGGTACTAGTATCCACTATTTCCCCTTCACCTATGTCTTGGAACGGTGACTTACTTAAGTCCCCAGGCGTAGTTATAATAAATACTAGAAACAACAGAACGCTTATGCCGCCGACTAGGACGCAATACTGTTTGTTGAACTTCGCCATGTCCACCCCGAAGAAAAAAAGTACTGTCTGTATTCGGGATTAGGCATTGCGTTTATGTAGTAGAACATCTCAAGTGGTACAGGCTATTGTGTGACGCTTTCGTGCTATGATTATATAATCTTTCATTAGACAACGACATTTCACCAAGAATAACTGGTCGGGAATTTTTCATTACCTTTGCTATAAATACTATTAAAGTTTTGTTGACATTTTTTAAGTTAAAAGTAACGTCTTACCAAAAAAATACAAAGCGACTAGCGTTAGTAATATAATGGTAAATTTATATATAGCTAACGTTTGTGTCGCCGAAGAAGCTAAAATTAAGTTATAGGATTGTAAAACTTTAAAGTTATTTAAAAATTTAATTCCCCTGATAACTTTACACAAATTTACATTCATTCGAAGCGCAAAAAAAACCGCTATCACTTGCAGAAAAGTTGACCAAATATCTTGCTTTTTTGTTGAGAAAACAAATGATTATTAAATTTTCGAAAAAAAAAAGCTTAGTTGAGTATATTTTCAAGGTGTACGGCGTATATTTATTTAAATGCTTTTACCCTACTGTTTATACTAAGTATAAAATTTGGTTTCTAATATGGGCCAGACTGCAAGGTTAATTCAAACCATCTAGCAATTCTCGATGGCCGTTTTTTTTTCAAGCCCGTCCTTATCACAATCTACATCAAATTCACCATAAAACCAAAAAATTACAGCACCGTTAAAAGTATTTCAAAAAAAAAAGAGCAAGGAGAAAAACTGCTCTATAGATTTAAAAAATTTAATGCCATGGAGACATTGATGAAGAAACTGAGACAGATAATAAGGCAGACAGTGTAAATGAATTAACAACAACATTGCGTGTCACAACTGCTTGTCTCTTACTCTAATGGAGTAGGCTCCAAACAGCTCCAGAACAAAGTATTAATATCCTTGATTTTACATTGTATCGGATTCTCATTATACCGGACAAAAATTGCTGTGCCAAACCGTTCGGTATTCGCAATAATGTCATCATGAGTGCAAAAGTACCATTTTTTTCGACAAAAAACCGTCAAGCTGGAATATTATAGACTGTCTAGAAAATAATCTTTCAAAGTTATCCCAAGCCAAAACTAATCGCTATTCTAAAGACCTTAAGCTCATAAGCAAATCAGAGACAGCGTTGAAAGCGGAGAGAACAAAAACTCTTCTCGACCGGTATAATTGGCAATTTCCTTATTCATAAAATTAAATAAAAAAAGTGATAGTAGCATGATATGGGTCTTCCGCGCCTTATATTTATAAAGGCTCGCGTGCCGAGCTACAAAAATGGTGTTGGGGTTTAGGAAATTTGGCGCGGTTTCTCAGGTTCAAAGCTTGCGTGCTGACCTAGTGGGGATAGGAGTATTATTGAGATTAAAATGTCATTAATACAATCTAGTTCTCACTGTAGGAGATTGCAATCTTGCTAGAGAATGGGAGAAAAACCAAACTTTACGCGATCACAATTTAATTTTATAGTTCGACGTTTTTGGAGAGTGCTCAAAGAGTTGAGGTCATTAACAATGCGCAGAGGAGGAAGAGGGAGCATGAATATCAAGAAAACAAAAAGGTTTATTCACGTACATTGGGACCTCCCTAAGTGCAACTCCCCTAAGTGCAATCCCTCCCTAAGTGCATGATTAACACTGGATCCCATGATGGGACCTATTGATGCACGTTCTTTTGCACGGCCATCTATAGTATTTCCATTGTAGTACACCCCCCTAAATGCACGTCATGTGATTAGATCTTTAATGTTAAGTACATTTTCATGTTTCAATATCTGATATTTCAATACCCTTGGCATCATGGCTAACAAAACAACTCTTAATAGCGAACAGAAAGTAGCATTAATTACATACAAAATACGAATCCAAATACTAATAATGTTAACCTGGCTGAGTGGATAAAGCAATTATATAACCTTGTCATTCATCCCAGTACTATCAGTCGCATACTCAAACGAAATATAGATGACATTGTTGGGCGCGATTCTGCAAAGAGACAAAGAACTGTTCGATATCCTGAATTGGAGAATGCATTACTAGAATGGATTCTTCGAAGCCAAGACAAATAATATTGACAGATAATATTTGTTTAGAAAAACAAAGGTTTTTGCTCAGATGTTGAATATTCCTCTTAGTGATTTTAAATTCTCCAACGGACAATAGAAAGTACACAGTCTATCGATTGCAGATCGATAATGTTGTTTAGGATAGTTTTATTACCTCTCCCCTCCTTTTTTTACACATTAACGTTGTAATACGAAATATAGTCGTCGTATCAGACGATTGACAATGATCTCGGACAATAAATATGAAGCCGTACGATACAGTATAAAATAGAAATCAGGTGATGTATATGAGCATTTTATCGGCTATCTTCACATCGTAACATGATTGGATATTCCCTAAATGCACACCTCCCCTAAGTGTACGCCAGAAGCCTGGTCCCGTCAGCTTGCACTTAGGGAGGTCCCACTGTACTCACATGTATTTGGTACACAAAGGCGATAAATTATGGTTTTGTTACATTCAGACAGTGATGAGTATGAAGATAAATGGTCAGAATACATCCCATTGTATTTATTTCATTATGTTTAGTTATTTTACAAATTTGACATTGGCTTTTTAGGAGTCTGAAAAGGCTATAATAACAATCAAAATAATGAAGGAAATAAAGATGACTCGCAACCTCTCGACATAAATTGAAAATAATGACCAAGAAAGTGAAAATGACTTGTGGCCTTTTGACAGAATTAAAATAATAAAGAAAATGAAGATGACTTGCAGCCTCTCAACACAGTTGAAATTATGAAGGAAATAAAGATGATTTGCAGCCTCTCAATATAAACTATTATTAATGTCATTACTGTAAAACTTGCCTTTTATGTTCCGATCAATATATTCATTCGATACTAACCGAGCAGTATATCTTTATTTTAAACTCTACCCCGAGTTTTCTGCCCAAGAAGGGTTATTACTATTTATATTACTATACCAGTTATTATAATAATGCAAGTAAAACATTTATCTTGACTAGTTTAAATTTAAATGCACTAAAATTTTTATTCGGTTCATTGCCAGGTACTTGTAGTTCAATTCATGAATTCAAACATGGGCCACAGCTGTGCAAATCAAAGCTAAAAGAAAATCAGTTACTCTAACCAATTTTAGCCACATCAGCAATTTTTAGTTTACATAGTCAAATGTTCACTTGTCTGGTTTTGTTGCAGTCTGCCTCGCAAAATTAACGTTTGGAATATCATTTATACTCGGTCAACTATCGGATTCCATACATTAACATTGTACCATGCTTAATATCGATTTAAAAAATGCATTTGGAACACGTTCATATTGTTGTACCCTGTCAATAGCACACATTTGATTATTCATTCGCCATTAATCTCAGCAGTTCATTACTAATACGTACTTACAAACTGCATACTTGAGTATGTAAGGGTATTAATTTCAAAGTTGCTACCATTGAAGTCAGTCTCGTTCGAAACCTCCCTGATTCCCTTTACAGGAGCCTGCAAATTATGTTAATCATGTCCTAATAACTATATGTTTAGGCAGTTTTCAACAAACCTTATCATAGTATTTTGCAAGATGTTTGCATTGAAGAAAATATTTTTTAAATTATCGTATCATCCACATAGTTCGTAAAAAATGTATCTAAACTATCAAAATATTAAGCTGTCAGTGAGTTATACGCTAAAAATTTTAAACAATAATTTTTACCGCTCCGACATAAAATTTGATATGTTTTGTATAGCACATCTTCTACTACAAGTCCTGTACATTGAAGCGTCTACTTTAATTTATCCTTCATCTGATTATAATTTTCCGTAAAAGACTTTCGGTATCCAATTCTATCACTTTTATAAGTATGTTTAGTGTGAGAAACAGTGCTCGGTGTGCATGGCTTTGGGCATTTTCTTAATAAATATATGTCCCAATCCCCTTCCCACGAACTGGGATTTCTTGCCTAATAGTCTATAAAAGAAGAAGCCACATGTAAATGTCCACATGTATCAAAATGAGTAATCGAGAGTTTACAGTTCTTTTGCTTCTTTCGGAGACATCCTTGACACGCAGTTCAACTATAGTTACGCGGTTTTTCAGCGCTATACTAATATGCGATAACTTCACCAGCCACAGAAAATGTTTGGTACCCACATGAGAAATTGGTTTCCGTAGTTCAGGAAAGAATAAATAATATGTACACTCTTATGCCAAAAGTTTAGGATTACCCGGCTGATCAATTAGTAAAATATATGAAAAAAAATTTTTTTTCGAAATCTGTATTGGCGTTATTTGCTAAGTAAACGACAAAATTTTTATATATCGTTATGAGGCTAATTGGCTGTAGTTTTTAAACAAATACTGATAAGTTTACACAACTTATTGTAAGACGTCAAAGTGTTAGTATTAGTATATATGTTACACGTATGGAAAATGTACGTGTAACATCTCGTCAATTCACAGCTCCATTACAACATCTTGTTTAACTTTATGAGTATTTTATTCGAAAGCTACAGCAATTAGCTTCATAGCGATATAAAATTTTTGTTGTTTACTTAGCAAATAACGCACATGCATAGTCAACGACGAAACAAGTATCACAATGCGAAAACGCACAATAGCAAAAGTCAACGGGAGTTTTTTCCTTTCAGATACGTAACATGCTGAGATTCGAATAATTGTGAAAAGTTCGACATTGATGTCATCTTCGAATTTAAGAAAATTCTAAAACAATCGACCAAAAATAAGAGAGGAAGTTGGAAATGGATACAAGTGAAAGTAAGTTAAAAATTTTTTAAATTAATCAGAATTTTAAACTTGATACTAATAAAAACATTAAACTTATTTGTAGTTTTCGGAAATTATACCCGACGGCTCGAAATTTGGAACAAATTAAGACTATATACTACCGTTGTAGCTGGTCTTCCGTACTTTGACAATTTTAAGAACTCTCATCGGCAGCGATTTGATCAAGCCAAAGGCTGTATTTTATTAATGCAATCAATACCAACACCTTGACAGCGGCCGCATTTTCATCACCTTGTCCTTGCATATCTTAGAGACGTCAACGAAATACACGTTGATGAAACATATAAAACATCCAAAGGGCGTTTCGAACTTTATGCTATTATTACCAATTTTAAGGCACGGGTTTTGCACTGGGATATCTGATCTTGGATACGACTCAAGGTGGGGAAGGGTTGAATATCGGAAAAACGACAATCTTAACAGAATTTTTTTCTAAATTTAAAATTTTGGGTTTTGCACCACGTTACGTATTTCTGTCTCTGGCACATCAAAAAATTAATTCTCACAAAGGAAAACTACCGAGATTTTACTAACATAGAGTATACTCCAGTCATATGTTTACTTACCAAAATTGGGAACGTGCGACAATCTTACACAGAGAATCACATTCTGTATTATGAGTCGTATTCACCAATCAGACAAATTTATTCTGTAATAATAAACATAATATACTAATACGAAAGCCTTCTTTGTATAGTTTTCCAGTTATCTCAAAAAGAGCAAGTATTTTGAGCTTATACTTTTTACTAGTATTAATGAATACTAATCAATATTTATTAACGTTGTATTACCCGTCACATTTCTCTTGTACAGATGGCTTCGAATAGAAAAAATAACTTTGATTTGACTTGATTACTGTGTCAGCAGTATGACAGTCTTTATTTTCAGTATTATTCATTAACCTAATATGGCATCGAGCCGTCGAAGGTGAGAAGTCGTCAGAAGGGATATTGCCAAATTCGATTAGCTTGATAAACTGGTGGGAAAGCACTTTCTTGACGGACGCAAAAGTGATATAAAACCTTTTATCGTTTATGACGTGGGAAGATACGGCTTACGTATGTAGCCTATTTATACCAGCCTGTAAAACAATATGTCAATATTACTTTTTTTCAACAGTCTATGTATTGACAATTGTCGTCATAATACAAGGCAAAAAGTTTGAGTTTTTGCAAAACAATAAACAAAATTTGATCTTGGTTGCGAGTAATTGTCCAATATAAAAGCAATAATTAATCGTTATTAATTTTGACTTAAGAGAATAATAGTTGCAGCAAAGCTCAACGTTATTGTTTATCCAACCCATAATCAAAAACTTACTGTACTAGTATTTGATATATGAACAATAAAACGTGCGGTCGACCATAAGACAAGACTTGTCTGCGTACGATTTTTGTTGATAATATTTTAAAAACAACCAAATTTTTGAAACATTTTGTAATGCTTTACATACAATATGCGCTACAAAATGAGATTATTCTCCCGACAACTTATCTCCATAAGCATTCTAATTAAACCTGTCAAATAACCGAACAATTAATTTTGACATTTAAAGAACCGTTTTTAGTTTGTAATAAAATGTGTCGTCAACATAATCTAAATTTAACAGGAAAAAAAGAGAGAGGCTATTTACGCCTTTTCTGGGCAGTGTGGCAGTCCCGTTTTGACTGATTGCACGTTATTTGCCGCGTTATTCTGGCAAAACTTATTTTCGGTTTTTGCTTATTTACAATTAACAGAACCCGGTAGAAGAAGTGATGATTACGACTCGATTTTTATTTTCGCGATAAATATACACTCGAATATTGCATGCCGGATATACAGTTCATGCCTTGGGGTACTTTATTATTTATGATCTGTACGACTGTTACACTATCTTATTTTATACTAGTGCCTATTCGATCCACAAATATAATTTTGGGGAGGGGCAATCTGCTGATAAATAGTCTAATCGAGGGCGTATATCATGACTATACATTGCACAATTGACTTTTTCATAAGGCATTTCCGTCCTTTACTCAAAGATTTTTCTCAGACAGCCTCCCCGCTTTTCTGCCTTTTCCAGCCCTTTTGGTTACACTTGCATATTACGGGCCAGCGTATACCCCTGCAGTGCGGCTGTGTGTGTGTAGCACACCAAATATAATTGCTGCGAACACAGCTTTAATTGGATAGTTTATTTTTCATCTAAATAACCCTAATCAATCAGGGCTTATTCTGCCAAAGATGAAAGCAAAGCGGGTTGCTCCCACGTTGTCATCTACTCTTGCTAAATACCTTAATCCTAGAGTAGGCCCGAAGATGGCCGCAGGTTTATCATTTGAAGAGGCATGGCAAGACGTAGTAAAAGATATAGTGGTGGCTTCCCTCTCCAGTAAACCACTAAACATCTTCGCCGCTGCGATAAACCGACTTGCAGAACTAGACGACGCTGGCCGTCTGCAGATTATTGATAGATGTCTCACTGTATGTCCGGTTCCTGAATCGCCGCCACCAGGTAAAGCAGTCCAAATACAAGACTTGTTAATGGGAATGCTTACGCCAGAGAGCGTACCGGAATCTGAAGGAGCGACTTCGTTCGAAATTGATGCCGAGTTTATGAATATTACAAAAGCAGTATTTGAGCACTCGCACAAAGACTGAGTAAGACAGGTAAAATTTTCAAAAGCTTTCTAGAGAAAGCATCCAAAAACATTGTAAAAATTATACATGATAAAAATATGTTAGATACGTGTTCCTGACACTATTTTGCAAACAGATAGTGGTTTCAGTTTGTTAATAAAAAGGATAGATTATTATGTGTCATATTTGATGTTTGGGCTCTGCAAGGACTTTCTCAATAATCTTAGCTGATGCAGTATTCGGTATAAACCAACTACTTTTCAAACAGTAGTCAACTAATGCTTGATAGTGTGTGTATGTATGTACGTATGTAATTGAATTGCCGGTCCTGTTTTAAGTTGTGGCGTCGACTTAACATGAATACAGCGGTTCATAATACGACAATTATGACATTACATTCTCGGTGCAATTGTTAATTGGTTTGCAAATTGCGATATACCTTTTTATCCTGGTAATAGTTTTGCATGTCTTTAACAACCCGTTATTTTTAGTTTTTGCCCACATATTTGTATCTAAGTGTCAGTTGTGGTCATAATGTAATGCTTGCCATGTTTGACGAATTCAACTTGTTTGTTTTAGGATTTTGAGCAGACTAATCTCTGCTAGCAAAAATTGCATAACATTTCTCTAAATTTACAATTTGTAGAATTGACAGCAATAGTAATAGTAATGTTTGTTATTGTCACTTGTATAATTTTTTGACATTCTCGTCAACCTTTCATGTAGTCATCCTCTTCTATAAGCACATTATATAAAATTTTTTTATAGCATAAGAACCACTTACTAGTAAGCTTGTAAAGGGAAAAACCTTATATAATTATAAGCATGCTTAGCAAAAAATTGGATTGTATAATATAAAAAGGGTTAGCTATAGCAGCAGAGGATCCCAGCAGACTTTTTTTTTTGTGGGTGTTTTTTTTTTTTACACCTTCATTCTGCGGGTTTTTTAAAGCTAAAATCGCTAAAATCCATAGCAATTTTCGTTCTAGAAAAGGTGGTTTTTTTTGGTGGGTGTGACGTGTGTTTTGCGTTTGCCTCGTCATTCGAGTGACGTGCGTTTTGCTTTTGCCTCGTCAAAGATGGGATGTTTATAGTCTACTCATCAGATGACGTGTAAATTGTGTTTGTATCGTCATTCGAGAGCCACCAAGGTATGTGTCGTGACTTTACGTGTGTTTTGCATTTTTCACGTCTCTCGAATGACGATCGTGGCAAATTTTTGTCGTCAAGTCACATGCCAACTATTGTATGCTAGTTTAGTACCCGTATCTGATTTCTGTCATTGGCTCACATAGGCAAAAAAATATATCTGACGATGCGTCCAATCATATATCGTCATTTGTAGACC